AATTTCCATCTGGTAACGGCTGCACAAGGCCGTGAAGTTTGGTAATTTTGAGGTAAATTGAATGCAGCGCGACGTTTCTTATTTTTTCTTGCTCTTATTATCAACATATCGGCGGACGAAAACTCGGTTTAGGATAGAGAAAAGACCAAGCTTTCCAACCGTGTGCTTAGTTTTTCGCTATCTTTCTAAATAACAAAGATATGGGCCTTAGAAGTAGATGGAAATATAAAGGAAAAAGTTTGTTGCTGGGCGGTTTGTTGCTATCGTCTCGCCGGTGAATCGAAAACTATTTTTAGTTTAGGTAAAGTAACCTTTTTGTTCATGATATGGAAAAATTTTATTAAGAAAAGTTGTTCAAAATTGGAAATTATGCTCCTACACAAAATTTCAGAAGGATCCATCTACTTTGGTTGAACCATCACATTTTAGTTTAAATAACATAAATATTGTATAACTTTATTTTATTTATAAAAAATCGAACGTAAACATAAGTGTCGTTTATTCAACATAATATCCACCTCTTGGCGACAGCAAAAATTCAAGTTGTATTAAAAAACCCGTTGAAAAATAATCAAATATCCACGTGAACCCTATAAGAAGCGTGAAGAGACAAGACTGTCTGTTCACTCAGTCTTGTCTCTTCACGCTTCTTACAGGGTTAACGTGGATATTTGATTATTATCATTTCTAGATATAATCTTTTATCGAAATATTAAATTTAACCATTCAGACGAGTGCTGTAGAATGTGAAGGGCATCCATCGTGTTGGAAGTAAATGGCCTGTCTTTCTATCAGCGGCATGTCGTCTAAGTATTCTTCCCTGAACCTTTCAAATAGCTGTAGATAAGAATACTGATTTAACGGCCCCTCTATGAAAAAAGGACCAATAATACCTAAACGGTATGAAATGGCGCACCACACATTCATTTTTTTTCCCGTGAACCAGTAACGACAATTTTGTGAAGAAATAACGCCATTTGTGCTAAAAGATGTTTCATCCGAAAACACAATCTTGTTATAAAAAATTCGTTTCTCAATGCATTTCTCTCCGATGGTAAGACAAAATAATAATCTACTGCCTTCATCGACTTCTTCAAGGGTATGCATAAATTTTGCTTTGAATGGCTTTACTTTAGTAGATTTATAAATTCGTTGCAGTTCTGATTTACTAATGTTAAGAGATCGTGAACGTGAACGAATGATTGTCTAGGATGTTCTTCCACGGAATTAAACGCAATAATAGTTGCGGCATCATTGTCATCATATTTATTTTTTTCTTTCTTAACGTTAACAACGCTCCCCGATGTAACAAATTTCTTAACTATTTCTTCACTCTGATCTCATCTAAAATGTGGTGGTTTAATCAATATAGGTAGATCTTTCTGAAATTTTGCAAGTTACCGTATCATGAACAAAAAGTTTACTTTACGTGAACTAAAAAAAGTTTTCGCTTCACTATCAAGGCCTAGTTTATTTTCGAAATATGAAAATATACTTAAAATTCTCACCACACCAAGCAGGGCTTAATTCCGTAGCCTTAAAATAAAATTCTTTTTTTTTTTAAGTCATTATACCTCTTGTAACATCTATTCTGGGATACACTGTATAATTTCTGAGTTTTTGACTTACTAATCAGAAATTCATATCGTCGGCTTAGTAAGAAAAGCACGTAACTACAATTTTTACCAAAAATAATATTTTGATGTAATTATGCAACAAATTATTAAATCTACCAGTTCCGGAAACTGCGCGTATATTGAAATACAAGTCAAATTTAAAAAAATTCAGTTTTTTCTGTCTCCTGTAAAATTTTCCGAAACGGAGTTACGTGGTTTTCTTACTAAGCCGACGTTATAGAACGAAAGTTTTGCTTCCAAGGATGCACAAGAGATGTTTATTATTATTTAATCAAAGTCTTTTATCAACAGTAATGAAAGATTGTTGCATACAGCCATTCGTGTGGAGGACAAAATAAAAATAAAAACATTACTGAATTGTTTAGATTTATCGTTCAAGTCACTAACATAAACAAAGTTTCCCACAAGTTCCTTGAACAATAATGAACAACCCAAAAAGAAATAGTGACCATAAGTGGAAACACCTTTACTAAATGTAAGATTAGTTGCCATAAAACTTGCAGCGAACATTAAGCAAAAACCAACTTTAAAGGTAAGACATTTACAATCTAGATGCATGTAATCAGACTCTTTTAGCTCCGGTAGGAAAACAATTGCCTGCAAATTGGTGATGTACTAATCTCCAATTGTCAGTCAATTGTGTTATACTGAAGAGTATTTAAAGACATTCAACCTGTCTGAGCAACATGTATTGATTATCAACTTGCATGCCAAAAGGGTTCTTATCAACTCGTACCAAACCTATCAAAACCACAGTGGGATACACTGGGAACACTAATAGGATACAATAAAAGATTAAAAAAAATTATTTTTGTTATAACGACTCAATCCTATCTAATTCTTGTCAGAAATGCCCTACATATTATTACTTAAACCTTGTCTATAGATCTCAGTACAGTTCCTGTATTGAAAACACTGGCAAGACCTCAGAATAAGAAATTTAAGAGAAGACTGTTTTCACAATGTTATCATTAAAAAATACTTATCAGGTTATGCTTTCAATATTCGGAGTTTTATACTACTAACGCACAGTGTCAGGAAGTTATGAATATCTGGCCAAATATAATTACATCTAAATGAAGTTGAAATATACCATTGTAATATCACCTTAATAGTTAGCTAGGATTTATTTCATCTATAAATAGTGCTTAAAACAAAATTTAGGATATTTGAAAATAAAAGCGAAACAAAGGTTTTGTTGTAGGTTGGGTTGGATGTTTAAGCTAATGTAACTCCGAAAACATGGTACATTTATTTCATGTATCCTAACAAAGTAATATATACTTATATACTATAATATATACAGGCTGTCTCCCGTAACTGGTTCGTTAAAACTTTTTAAGGTTCCACTATTTATAAAGGTTTGAAATTTTGGTAGCAGGGGTTGTTCATTCGGAACTTTCAATATAAAACATCTTCAAGATGGCTGCCACTTCCGGTCTACCGGAAGTAGACCATAACCATTTTAATGACCATAATTGTGTGACCATGTCTGTGACTGTTTAGTTCTTGAAGTTGTTGTTCATATTTAATTATTCATTAATTAATACATTTCTTGTATTTTTAATAAACAAACTTTATCTACAAATCATTTTTTATTGGTGAACAAAGTCAGGGATAAGACACTGAGAAATTTAAATCAACTATTCAAAGTTTTTATTCGTTGGTACAAAACCAATTTTATCCTGCATAATGGTACAAGACCAACTTTCTGTCATATTTGTGCAAAACCATATTATAGCAATTAGGTAGTAATTACTGTCCGAACCCGCCTATTATAATCAAAATTTTGAACTTTAGCGCTTACTATTTTGGAATTGAAAATTAACGCTTATTTTCCGCAAATACACCATACAGGCGATTACATCATTGGAAAGTTAAAAATATGCTCTTTTCATTAACATCATAATCAAGTAAGATATAGATTATAGATTGTATTTAAAAAAATACAACTTTGTGTTGTATCACAAAAATCATGAAATATTTTTAAAATTTTTCAACGGCAGTATATTTTTCTTAAAAAAGTGTCTTAAGAACGTATCAACCCCATTTCTCTAATTTTAAAAATAAACGAAATATGAGCATTTTTTGAAATCACGAAAATTTGACTTTTTGGCTATATCTTAAAAACAAAAGAAGATAGAGGTTTGGTGTTTGCGGGATTGGGTTAGTCTCGAAAAAAGAGACCGGGACATGGCACCTACTTTTTTCGTATCTTTTATAGTTTCTGAGATAGCCTATAATAACACCCAAATTTGCCCACCCTGTACTGAAGTATGAAATCAATTGAATAAAAATTTGAGGGATATTCTTCCAGAAAAAATTCTTGAATATCTATGTTATATTTTTTAACGCGCATTTTTGAGATAAAATAGAAATGTGCAGGTGTCCCAAAATTGAGATACCATATGTTGACATTTTAAAATAGGAACCTCAATTTTTTTAGTTGCATTAATACGTAACTTAATTACTTAAATACGTAATTAATACTACGTAACTGCTGAGTATTTTTTATGTAGCTGTCTTCGGACTTGTTTGGGAAGAAGGTTACAGCATGATATCTGAATCGTGACTCTTTTTTAAAGACGCACGGTTAAGCCCGAATGCTTCTAGTTCTAGATCTAATAATAGAGTTAGTACTAATATTAATTCATAAAAAATAGTTATTCTGAAAAATTGTAAACGATTGATAGTTTCAAAACTAACATTCAGTATTCACTGTCGAATATCCGTAGACAGTACCCTGTATATTAGCCATTGTATTGAAAATGCGCAAATATGCGCAATTTATTTTTTTGGGAACGGAAAGTACAGACTTGAAACTACATAAAAAAGCAAATTTCAACCCGGGATCTTGTGGGACTTTTTTTGTAGCTTAAATTAAAGTTTAACATTGCAAATAAAATCTGTTTATGAACAGTGTTGAAAAAAAGATAAATAAATCCAGCATTCAAGAAGCTACTACAGTGTTATATAAACAACACATGCAGTATAAAATTATAGTGAAATTTTATAAGGATACAACTTTTAATATGTTTACAATCGTTTCCCAATATTAATGAAATGTTTTTGGAAATTGATATGCAAAATAAGTGTTAACTTTACATGTCATTTTTATCCAGAGTTGAAGGTAATAAAAAGTGGTTATTGCGGAGTAGCGAGTATTACGATATTACCTAATAATCCCCATTTGCCAAAATATTAAAAAAGAAAATTAGTAAAATCATATTATGGCCGATAATTTCAAACTTGCTAACACTGTGTAACGGTCTGATAATCGAAACAAAGTTATTGTTATACTTTTCTTGTAAGCAAACCAACCCAATTTTTTTAAAACAGAGACATTTAGTGACTGAGGTCTTATCTTACCTACACAAAGAAATAAGGCGCGACGTCCTGTCTGGGACGTACCATCTGTTCCGATTGGACGGAACCCCCGTCACCCCGCAGAGCTTATTTCTGTTTGTCTTTAATTTGTAATTCCATTAAATCTCTATTAACAAATTAGGGAGCTCTAATTTTGTAAAACTGATAACGGAATCCGTCAATCGACATTATTTGACATATTTTGGTCGAATCCGCGAGGAAATTCACCCAGCCGGTTTCGTCATAACGGCTTGTTACTAAACCACGATTTTCCGCGAAACTGTATGGAATATCGAAAATATAAAATATGTCACTCATTAAGAACATATGAGGCTACCACCTGTTCAAAATTCAAATTATTTCGTACGATAGTTTTCTAGAAAAAAACACGCAAAATTGACAAAGTTGCCGGCACCGTAAAAAATCGGGCAATTTTTTCATTTAACTCGCGATAACAAGAAAACCGTTGATCTGAAAATTTTCAAATTAACATATGTAGAAACGTAGAAATGAACAGTGATTACAACAAACTTTGTTGCAATTTTTGTTATCTAGCGGTTGCGAAGAATCGATCTCTAAAGTGAGGAGCTTTGACTTTTTGCACGGATAATAGGTAACGCAACACTTTTAATACCTTTCAGAATTAAACTTAAAAACAATCCATGATGCATATACGTTAGTTATACCGGGTGTCCCTCAGAAACTTAATTGTTTGATCGCGTTTTTCCTTTAAAACTAATTTAATACAACTGTTAATTTATACCATTATTAAAAAAGAACCACTGACTAAAGCATAGCAGTAATCACTGCTCAAGATACAGCAAATCAAGAGGGACATAACGTAGTTTATACTATTAACCTAGCTACTACGCGTCAAAAGTTGTAATACATTTTCCGAAGGTACTAAAACGTTAAAAAATAACGAAAATAATTTTTTTTTCAAAAATTATAAGTGATCGTGAAATTTTTTTCAAGCAAAAGTTATGTGAAGTTATGCTGTCTACCCAACTGAAGAAAAAAAAATTATAGATTTAAAAAAATAGCGAAATTAGTACTCACATACGGTATAACCGGAAGTACAAAGAGAATAATTTTATGTCGTAATAATCCGTTTTAATGGCCTAATTATGCATTCCAAATGGTTTTCTTATATCACTAATAATAAAAAAAATATGGAGGTGAGCCACTTCTGAGGGACACCCAGTATAAATCATTATTTCTAAAAATATTTCAATCTTTGTTCTTGTTTTCGACACTTCAAGTAGTGTTAAAATTTAAAACCCAATTGAGGTGATGATTATTATTACCTGCTAGATATGAACAAAAGTTTATATCATATACATATATCATAGCTTAACTGTGTATATGTATAGAAAAGATGTTGTATGACTCCCTAGAGGTTTTAATTTATTGAATACACACAATACTTTTTTCTGCTCTTACCCTTTCCAATTGTCCGTCATAAGTAAGAAGTGGTATTTCCACGTCGGAAACGTTTGTTCTAAGCAGTATGTGCGAATTTAGATTAACTTCGGCCAACGAAACGTTTGATTTTAAAACTAATTTGAAAACAACTTTCTCTTCCTTTGGTTGTAACACGATCGACTTAAAATCTAAAATCTTTAATTAAAAAATAAATAAAACAAACAAGCTGTTAAATATAGGAATTATTTCGTGTATCTTACTTGGAAATAAGTCTGAGCCTCTTTTGGTAAAACTACGTCGGTCAACCTGACGGGGGTCGGAAATTCGTTTCGTATTTCCATTTTCCGAACTGATAAGTTCGTGATTTTCTCTCTAACGAAATACTTTGTTATGGACGTGTTAAACGACAAACCACCTTCAACGATGGTTATGTAATATGGTATTTTCGTTTTCGTTTTTGAGTTTTTATATTTTATAACGATTTGTCCTGAAAAGTCTTTTGTATCGAACGCGGTTTTCCCTAGAAAAAAAAATTAAATTTATTAAATAAATTACTAACGTTGATTTATTTTTTTTTCTTTTAATGGTATCATAAAAACTGATAAAACCATAAAATTGCCAAACACAAAATTCATAATAATAATTGATTTTTCTTATAACACGTTAACCATCGGTTTATAATAGTATAATTAACAATTCCTCACATAACAGATGATCATTTAAGATTTTAAAAATTTTAACTCACACTATATCAAATCAAATACTAATAAAATATGATTTATACGAGATTGAAATAAGTTAATATTGGATTAAAAATCTATTTTATGTAAATAAAAATTTTTCGTGACATAATTTTACATTACGCTTGAAGTCGCAAATGACCCCATGGTATTATAAAGCTTAAATAAAACAAGACAAATTCAAGCAATCTTTGATGACCACTTGTTATATAACAATTATACCAAACTTTCTATCATCCAGCTGTGCGAAACAAGCTCTATTTAATAAAGGCGATAAGAGACGATTCAACTCATTATTTTTGATACAGGATATGATATTAAGGTAAAAGTATAAAATTCTATACTGAACCCGCCTTCCAATTTTAGCTGGATAGGTGTAAAATTGCGTTTGAGTATGTTGAGAGTATTCTGAAATACATGAAATAAATATTGTCATGCCCTTTGGGAAGATTCGTTGCTGTGCTTCAAGTGAAGACAATCAATATCAGTCCAGCCATAAAAAAATAGCCAGCGCCTCACCCGCAAGCGACACCGGAGTTTTGAGAGTTAATGTCTTCTTATAAAAGACTTTGCATCTTTACCAAGATATATCCACTTTTTAAGCATGCCAGTAATATTTCTGCCAGTCCCAAGCCTGGTAAAATGCGAGGGGAAGGTGGCCAGCGCTGCGAAATAAGTATCTATCGTTAAAAACTGAAAAATCGGGAATATCTCCAAAACCGTTGAAGATAGACACCATGATATCTGTATAAAACTGAAAGGAAATTAAATTTTACATCCAGTTATGCAAAAACTGGTATATTGTTCCATTTAAAAAAATTAAGTTATCCATTAAACTAAGATTAGAACTAAAACTAGAACTAACACTAGAAACTTTCGGGTTTTGCCGTGCGTCTTTTAATAAAAGGTTTGACGTTTCGGATGCCATGTTGCAACCTTCTTCAGAAACTGGTTCGACCAGTTTCTGAAGAAGGTTCAAAGTGACTTCGAACCTAGTTTTAGTTCTAATCTTAGTTTAATTCACACCGGCCGTGAAAGCCTTCGTACTTATAAGTTATCCATGATTAAAAAGTTTGAAAATTACAGATCCCTACTTAAGAACTCAGTAATATAAATGCATAATTTTCTATTAGCAAACGTGTGTTCTTTTATTGTTCATCCAAAACAGAAAACCAAATCTTTCTAGCTTTCACAGTTTCGGCAATATTACCAAATTTATAAGACGCTGCAAATGCCATTTTTTTCGAAAATCGTCATATAATTCAGAAACGATACCAGTTAGACTTAAGCTATCCTTAACAAAGTACCATTGAAATTTCACAAAGAATCCAAAAATGCAATAATATACAGAATGTTCCATTTAAAATAACAAAGTTAATATCCATTTCCGGTAGAAGCGGAAGTCCGCCATTACTGAAACTAATTTTAAAATATGTACAATATGATTCGATTCAACTTTTGTTTGAAACATTTTTTGAAAAACTCAATCATAATTCGGCTATGGACCGAGGCAACTTAGGTGGGACACCTGTATATAAGGAACGATTTTGCCTCAAATGCCGAGATTGCTTATGAAGTGCAATCTAAGTAAGGCGCTAGAAACCCTCAAATCTAACGCTTTCGTATTGATATGTCAAATCCGATGCCTCGCGCGCAAAGCGACCTTGACGGTTTTATGGTAAACGTTTTCTAATAAGAGACTTTGTGTCTTTACTTCTAATCTAATCTAGTTCCAAGATTCCTTGCGTGTGAGGTGCTGCAATCATATAAAGCCGACGATTTTGTGTTGATATATCAAATCCAGTGAACCGTTTTCAATAACCCAAGTAATATACATGATAGATGAGTTTCCTGTTCCCAGGTTGTGTTAAATTTTTCCAGATTTTGGAATTGCTTGCACTGATCGGCGTTTTATATGAAAACATCTTCAATGCTTCCCGAATGATGGTTTTGCTTCAGTTGTTATACGCTTGTTTTGGCTTGTGACAAATAATCATAGGAAACACTTTATAGTCTATTTTTAAGAAACAATTTGTATTAAAAAAAAGTCTACTTACAGTCAAGAGTCAACATTCCAACTTCTAATAAATCATCTGTTGTCATTTTAGCATCTGATAGCTTCGTTCTATCATAATCAATCTTAATAGCTTTTGATGTGGTCGTTATGCTATGAATCTTCATGGGCTTCCTAAGTGGATTCTGCAAAACTAATTTCAACTTCTTGGCTGGATCCAACGAACCCCCAATACCAAAATCGACCGATCCTTGTGGATGAAAGAAACTAGCTGAAGAAGTCACCTCCACTTCCAATGGAACGACCAAAATTTCATCGGTATTATTTAATTTAATTCTTTAAGAAAAAGCATAGACAAAATAGAAACGAAAAAAAGAACTGATATACTTACCGAACGTAGGCAGTATGATTTTGTTCAGATCTTGCGTGAAAACTAACTCGAATAATGGCTTTTGTTTCAAGCGGTGGTATTTCCCAGAGATCTTTTGGACCTTCTAATTCACCACTGGGTAGTTCTAAGTGAAAATCACCACCGCTACTATAAACTTCTACAATCTACAATTATTTTAGAAACATTATTTTTAATTACAAAAGAAGAGGAATTTTTATAAAGAGAAGGTAATAGAACTGTCAAAAGATTAAAGGGAAAAGTCAGAAAAAATATTTCTTAACAGTTATTTCTTTTAATTTTTCGGACAATTCCCATTATTCCAAGTAATCGCTTTTACCGTGATGGTGTATCATATTTTTCTCTGCAACTGTTTGAATTTGCCTTCTTGTGGCTGGTCAAATAGACCTCTAGTTAGCGCTATCCTCGTATTAATTTAGTGTAAAGGGAGATGTATGCAGTATTATCTTGTAGAAAGGTTAGAAAATGTAGGTTGAATATAAATCTATTTGACTGGTATTTAACACAACACTTAAACACTTTTGATTTAAAATGTGGACCAAATATTTACTTAATGTTTAAAATTTTGAAATGATTTTTTGATTTCGTATACGAAATTCTGGTTACTTAAAAATTATTTCATACAAAGAAAAATATATCAAGTATAGAATTTACCTGTACAGGTTCCGTGTGAGGGTTGTGCATGTAGATGAGTGGTGCAAACGAAGTATTGATGGGAAGTTTTATTCCCACGATTGGTCTTAACCTATATGGACTATAAGTACTAGCCCCCTTTACCTGTAAATTGAACAAAACTATCAACATTTTTATTCTATATTAATAACGCAATCATTTACTATCATAAAAATTTCTACTAACACGATATTTTAGATGACCTTCTGTAGTGTGAATGTATAAACTACTTTCAATAGATCCTTCCTCTCGACCAAGAAACACAACATTGAACGTTGTATTTCCCATAGGTGGAATTTTCTATAATAAGCAATATATATGTTACAAAAAATGTTAATACATAATAAGGACAAATTCTAACATCTAAAGATCTCCCAACTTCTAAGTAAAACACTTTCCATTTTAACTTAGGGTTATGATTGCTTTATTTTGAGGAATTAAAGAGGAAATAAGAACGTTTTTGTTTTAATTCAGATATAAATAAATAGCACTACTATCTATTTTTAGTATATTTTTTAATCTTTAAATATTCCTTACTATCCATGTTTCTAAAATAATTTACTTTGTACTTTTTTATTGATTGTCCAAGGTTCAAACATCTAGACTTCTTCCTAGATTCCTAAAATCGTCAGCTGGAATCCCCCAAAGCTGACGATTTCGTGTTAAAATATCAAAAATGTTATCTGTAAGGCACCAGAAGAAGCTCTAGGATTAAAAAAAAAAAATACCGGCCAGTTCAATCAAGGAAAGAAACAATCAAGCCTATAGAAAACTAGAGCAGTGTAAACACAGAGTGCAGAGCGCGGGAAAAGGAGGAAAATCGGGTTCATAAACGGTAAGCTGAGAGAATAGAGAAATTAGAACACTCCAGAATCTAAATAAAAATAGGAAATGATTTAAACCTAGGATAATATGCGGGGATAAAGAGAGCCGAATTTTGATGGAGCAAGGTGAAATACTGGACAGACAGATAGTTTACTATAAAAAAAGCTGAGAACACAACAAGAAGAACGCAACGACACGGTTTGGCCGAACTCATCAGACAACAGCGAACAAAAACCGCCGACTTATAGTGAAATGATAGCTGCAATAAACAAAATAAAAAGCAATAAAGCAGGATCGGATAAAATCGCTACGGAAGTAATAATAAAAGAGGAGATAACGTGATACAGACGCTTCGTGAACTTGTCACTAGCGTATGGAAATCTAAAGAAGTAGAATTAACACTAAACCTAGAAACATTCGGGTTTTGCCGATCGTATCTTAAGACCGCTAAATTGTTCCGCAAATATCTGAGCCTATTATTTTTCCCGACGATCGTTTCTATTGACAATTGCGGACTAAAAGTCCGCCGCGTGTGACTCTCTGTAGTACTCCTCTTTTAGTATGTCTATAATCAAAAGTACAGCTGACCATCCTTACTTCTCATTTTCACATATTACTTCCCCTCACACCAATGTTCCATAATTTTTCTTTATATTATTTGATATTTGATAGATTCCACATTCAGTATTTCTTCCTTACAAGTAGGCAAGTATCAAAAAATTGACAATACTTGTGGATACATTTTTCAAATACTTTGGCGATATTGAATATTAATGTTACAGGACTAATAGTTATCAAATTGCTTGTTTGATAACTGATTGTTTGTTGCCCTTCTTATGGATCAGAGTAACTATGACTTTTTCCATTGTTTGGAAAACTTGCCAAGTTCCATGTTAATATTTCATATGTGTGTGCATCAAGGGTTTACTAATAATATCCGCTATACCTTTTAATAACTTTACCAGCATGTCATTTGGTCCTGCCGCCTGCGTGTTATTCATAAACATTATTATGTTAAAAATGTCAGTCTCTGTCATGGGATGTAAATAATATATATAGTCTTTGGATACGTTCTCGTTTTGAACTGTTTATTTTGAATTGATTCTGTCGTTAGTGATCCACTTTTAATTTCCCTGTCGGTCTTTGCCAGTAATCCACTTCTGCAGCCTTCAGAATTATTTCCCTTTTTCCATTAAGAGGCCATACTTCACTACTAATATACCCTGTATATTAGTAGGTAGAAGGGTACTATAGAAGGGTGTCCTGTATCTTCAGCATCAGAGCATTATACGGTTGTAGGATACATTATTCTGAAGCGATCTTTCTAATGAAATTTTTCGAAATGTTTATAATAACCGCACGAGAACAATTTAAAGTTATCCGCTTTTGTACAATAGCGGACGAGTTTGATTCACCGAAAAAGTTTATTTCTCTTCGCGTGAAGAATCCACTGGTCATAACTCGTTTCCCACGTGTACTCACGTGGGAAACGAGTTATCATCGGCGTAGCGGACCGACCGAGGGTGGCACCGATTACCTGAGTCTGATTGCGATCTGCTGATTGGACGAAAAACAGTTCGTTTAAACCAAAGAAATTGTATATACAAAAGCAGTTATAAACACTAAAACTTGAAGCCAACGCAACACGCGGTTTGTTTACTAACAACCTTTGTCGAAACCAGTTGAAACAATGAACGTGCACAGATCGGACCAGCGGCCGATTATCGCCGAACATTCCCGAATATTATTGCCCCTAGAATAAGGCATGTCACTAAAATAAATAAACCTATTTGCGAATCAATAAATGATTCGTTTTTCTTCATTTTTCTTTATTTATATTTTCTTTGTAAATAATTTGTATGTAGAGTATACTAGTACTTTTAGTTAGATAGGTATAAAACTTATCAATCAAAATACTACATACATACTTGTATCATTTACCAAGTTGTTCTACGTAGTACTACTCTTCAAGTACGTTGGACGTTGTTTCTACGTCCTCTGATTAATTTAAAAGATTACATTATATTTATTGTGTTTAACACTGTCAAGTCTTATTAAAACAATCATGTTTAACAATCAATTTTTAATTGTAATTTTATATAAGAGATTAGGATGCTCTTTGGATACGCCACTGGATAAAGTCTGACCAATTTCATCTAAATCATATACGCCACTGTCGCTAGGACCAAGGTCAATTTTGTTTCCAAACAAATGCTCTTGCGTTGGCTTCAAACCGGTATAGGGGCGAACATAGGCGATGCGGCTTCTATAAATACAATTTCTTTGCTTTAAACAGTTCCCATGCGGTTATTATAAACGTTCATAATGTGAACATTAGGAGGAAATCACTTCTTGTTATACCGAAACATAGGTTAACTCTATATACGCGATCATTTTCCTATACGGTTCAGCAGGTATATAATGACATTCCATCAGTATTTAAAAAATTAAGTGTATCATCATTTCGGCGGCGTTACAGGCAGCGTTTACTTCCCACACAATAGTTTATTATTATTATATTATATTTTATTATTATATATTTTTTTTATTCTTATTTTTGTTTTTCTCGTGGTTCGATACAAAAACCAGGCACCGCGCCTGATATCGCACCATTTGGGCCCTTATTGTAACTTATATAGTTTAGTTTAGTTTTAATAAATAGTTTTAAATTTGAACGATTTAATTTTGAATGTGAAGTAGTTTTTGGATTAGTTTATTGTGGGTAATTTAATTTGATTTATTCTGTAATACATTAAGGGTCACCAATAAAGGCATTTATTATTATTTCGAAAAAATTTTATTAGAAAGATCGCTTCAGAATAATGTATCCTACAACCGTATAATGCTCTGATGTGGAAGATACGGGACACCTGTATAGGGTCTTTACCATATATCATTGGTATTGTGCTATAGATTAACAGGTTATTCTTGTTCAATATGCCTTTATTCCACAATGTGCCATTCATCACAGTTATTGCTCTTCAGGCGCAAGGTTAAAAGCTGCGCGCCGCAATTTTCCGAAATTTTTATTAATTAATTTTGCTCTGAGGCCCAGATATAGATATTTCGGATTTCAGATTTTGTTGGCGATCGACTCAAAACGGCTTTGCGATCGACGTTAAGGACACCACTGTTATACAGGAGGATGTTCAAAAATGTAATATATTTAATTGCAAAAAAGTCGAAAATTTTAAATGGAACACCCCCATATTTGATTAGCTTATCAGATAGATAATTTAATTCTCTACAAATCTTCAGTACATGTCCCTATACCTGAGTTGCAGTTTTTGAACCAGTTTTCCTTTTCTTAAAAGATGCACGGCAAAACCCGAAAGTTTCTAGTGTTAGTTCTAATTTTAGTTCAATTAACACCGGCCCTGAAAGCCTTCATACTTATATTCATACTTATAATAAAATTGTTTATGCTAAATTATTGGGGTTAGTAAAAAATAAAAATGGATGTGTTTCAACTCATGATGATACCTGGAACCATTTTTAAATTAGACAAGGGGTTATACAGGGGTGTATCTGAATGACTGCAACAAACTTCAAGGGGTGATTCTTTAGTGAATTTTAAGGGTACTTTGATATATGAACCATGGGCGACTTCGGCTCCCCTAACGAGCTACACCCCTCCAAAAATATTTCTGACAAAGATTGCAACGCCTACTAAGATTTTTTCATTCAAAATTCATTCCAACTTTTGATCGACAATCCCATTGTTTAACGGGCAGTGTTTGCTTTACTATTTTTTTTCTCAAAAATTAGTCGTTTTTGGAAAAATTTCAGAGAGACAAAAAAGTTTTAGAACACTTTCATCTATCTGCATACAAAAAATTTTCGCAAAAATGCAAAAGGGGTGGTTACGTTTAGTAATTTAGAAGGGTAGGTTGAAAGTACAAATAGGGTCAAAACGTGCCCTATTATGAGTTAAACATATTCCCCAAATTTCATTTTCCTAGCGTTTATGGTTTTTGAGGAAAAAAAGTTAATTCAAAATTTTCCGCCATTTTTGAAGGGGTGTAGCTCCTTAGGGGAGCCGAAGTCGCCCGTGGTTCATATATCAAAGTACTCTTAAAATTCACTAAAGAATCACCCCTTGAAGTTTGTTGCAGTTATTCAGATACACCCTGTATACTAATATAATTGTATATTCTACAGGTGTCTCAGTGAGACCGGTCATTAGACGTTTCTGGGGTTCTACTCTCAATTACGTTCTCTTCGTCTAAAATATTTTCAGAATTCTAGCACTTCCGGTTATACCGGAAGTCGCCACCTACTTTATTTTTTTAAACGGAACACCCTGTATATTTTTACATATTTGGATTTGTCTGTTTTGAAGGTTTATAAATAACTTTCCTTTTTGCAATTTGATACGGCCGTTGTCGAGTTTTTGAGATATCAATTTAGGATTCAGAACATGCTTAAACAACATGATGGAGTATGTTTTGGTGCCTAGAACGGCTGTCTAGAACGTTTGGTCACTTTACTATGGCACGTTAACTTTTCGAAATTTGGAAGCACCATAACTTCATTTTTTTAAATGGCACCTCCCATATTTTATTACTTAGTCGTCTTCGGCGTCTCATTTTACATCTTTTATATTCCATATGTCC